TCATGTTATGAATAGATGAGTCTTCATTATAAGATGAGTCTTCATTATAAGATTCGTTACTTGTTGTAAGTGTTTCTTCAAGATTCCGTATCTTAGCTTTTAAAATCTGTAATTCACCTTGAACTATATCCTCTGCATCATTTACCTTGTTGCTCACAACATCGACACCTTGTATATCATAATGGCATTCCAGATTGCCATATTTGATACAAGTTGAACATGGATTACCTTTATCACACTTAACTTTCCGCTTTTTGCAGAACCCACACACTACACTAATTCTATGTCTTTTTCTCGATGTCATAGCTAACAATTTATATCGTAACCTTGCATAAGTTGCAGCTCCATTATCAGTAATTTTAAAATTGCACTTCACTGTAATTTTGTGTATAATTTTTGCCTTCATGAGAATCTCCTTAAAATCTAGTTCCCCATACTAAATTAACATATATGAATTTGATAAGGTATTAATCGAATTTAAATGTCGTCTAAGCAGTTTAAATTACAACTAATACAGAAATCTCTAGCGGAATTGGGTTATGGTAATTTAGCGGAACAAATATCAGAAGATATTCACTTAAACCCTATAACTCATGAAGCCGAATCTCCTTATCATAATGATCAGAATGAATATAGTGATTTATTAAAATTCATTGAATGGTTTTATGAAGAGTTGAGCGTTGGAAATTATGCAACTATAATTGAGTATTTGAACTATATAATGCTACCCGAGGAGAGCGCCATGACTGTTGACGATGTCCCCCAAGACTTTAATAATATTGGAATTGACTTCTTTAAGGCATTGAATTTGAAGGAAGATTCTCTTGATACAATTGGGAGAGTTTGCACCCTAATTATAACATATTTGATCAAAAGAAGTTATTTTTTAGAATGCTTAGTGGCCAATGCGTTTAATAGTAGCAAGCAATACAATAAAGCTGAGTTAGTGGGAGACATATCAAGATACAGCTTCACGCCCATTTCTGTTCCTGAACTACTCGTGATCTTGCGGGACGATTTGTGCCCTTTATTAGATGAAATACAAAATGCACTCAAGTCCATAAATATAAACGAGATCGTTGGATCCATGTGGAACTTTAAGCCTGAGCTTGTTGAATTATTAAATAGGGAGAAGGAATCTACGTTATTGCTTCCATTAGTTATGAAGTCACCGATAGAATTAGCTGATTTAACAAAAATGATTTTAAATGACCAAGTGCTTTTGGCCGATACAACTATAAATCAAAAATCCTTACCACATATTATTGATGAATTGAGAAACATACTTGTTGATAAGCACCTACGTACTATTTTTAAAGATAGCTGTAGAAATCCAGCTACAAATAAGGCCGCATTTGATATACCACCTAATTATCTTGATAAATTGATCGAAAATGCTATAGCATACCAAAAGGAACAGTCTCCCTATTATTTACCACCTAGAATTAGTTCCAAGCAACAAGGGGAAACATTCCTTCCACCCCTTTACAGTGAAATAAATGAAAAATATAAAAAGAGTTTCCCTTCAACTTTGATAACTACATTGGATAAACATTCCGATGAAGTTTGGATTGCAAAATTTTCCCCCCTGGGGAAACTTTTAGTTACAGGCTCTTTGGATGGAAGATTAATCATATATGATGTTTTGAGTAATTTTGAAGTTATAGCTATATTGGACTCAGATATACAGGGAATTAAAAGTCGAACAAGAAGCAATAAAGCAATAATTTATTGTTGCTGGGAGCCTAATGAAGAATATTTAGTGAGTTGCTGCTTGGATACAGTAGTAAGAGTCTGGTCAATAAAGGATATTAGAAAAAATAACAAAAGAATAACTCGATCTATGGATGTTGAACTGGATAGCCAAGCAGCACTTTTGAGGAGTTCCTTCACTCTTGGTGAAAGTATCAAAACATGGTCGTGTGAATTTTTGCCCACAACAGCTGATCCTCAATTTATAATTGGATCGCCAGATAAAGTACTAAAGGCTTTCAATATCGATGGGAAGGAGCTTTTCGACTTTTATGCCGATACCGAAGAAAATGGATTGTATCACGATGAAAAAGCTGGTTCAAGTGACATTAAAGATGGTAACGATAAGACAGATTCATCTAACGACAACGAAAATAAAGATAAGACAAACAATATACAGAACAACTTCTATCGAGTGAATGATTTAGCAATCACACCAGATGGAAAGTTTTTGATAACTGCAAATGACGATAAGCAAGTATACTTTTATACTATTCCCGATCTTTTAGATCCAAATTCAACTACGACTAAAATAGCTACGATCAGTCTTGGTGGAAAATTAACATCATGCTCCATATCTTCTAATGGAAAGTATTTGTTGCTTAGCATTACGCCAGAAGAGGTTCAAATCTGGGATATTTCAGGGCTTGGGAAATTAGAAAAACCAATCTTGAGAAAAAAGTTAATCGGTCATAGTCAAGATAAATACATTGTCAGGTCGAGTTTTGGATATTTAAGTGACAAGCAGGAAGAATTAGCGATCAGCGGCAGTGTCGATGGCTATATATATATTTGGAAAGTTGAAACAGGGCAGTTGATTACCAGAATAAAAGGTCATGTGGGACTATGCAATTCAGTGGATTGGAACAAGTATTATATTCCGAAGAAAAACTGCAAGGATTACGGTAAGTTGTGGTGCTCAGTAGGTGATGATAAGATAGTGAAGATATGGGGCCCTTCAGATTGGAATAACGAATGAATAAATGAACAAAAAATAAATGAATGAAACTTCTTAATATTTTCTAAATATATGTACATATATTATATATATTGCTTGATCATAATTCGTCATGATTAACTTCATCTTCCTCAACGATGGCTTCCTTAGATTCTCTTAATTTGTTGCCGTCAATTTTATGACCACCTTCTTCTTTAATATATTCAATCAAAGAATCTAATTCTCTTGGTTTGTCGTATACAACAGCTTCTCTGAGACCAGTTTTGCTGTCAATCTTACCATTAGCAGGATAGAACACCAAAGTTGGATAGCCAGCGATTTCAACCGGGGTATTAACATCGTTAGCGGTGTGATCGAGGTCAGCGATAACAACCTTAGAATCAGGCTTATTTGAACCAAAAATACCGGCCAATTCTTCCCATGTTGGTGCCAATTTCTTACAGTGCCCACACCATGGCGCGTAATATTTAACTAAAATATCCTTCGAAGTATCTTTAAGAATATCATCGTGGTTGTGAGCGACTAACTTAACAACCGATTGGTTAGCAATTTCTTCTTTAGTTGGCAATGGTTCAGACTTGACGATTGGGTCTACTTTACCCCTGATGAAGTCCTTAACAAACTTTTCAATAGTCTTAGTAGAAGGACCCTTAGGGTTTTCTTCTTGGCTGATACCGTACTTCTTGTTTTCTTGAAGGTTTTGAATGGCAAAAAGAGGAACAACTTCTGGGTTCATATTTAATGCTTCGGCATGACGTCCAAATACATTAGCATCCAAACCAACAAAGTTGATTTTACCTCTATGTTCCTTTCCTAACTTCTTGAAAGTTTCTTCAACCGCCTTACGTTCTTCTTCATTATTGTAGAAATAGTAACCAAGTGGCAAAGGCGAAGTCATGTACATCAAATAGGTATCTCTATTGATATCACCGAAGTATGGAACGATTTCAGTCTTGATGAAAGAAGTTAAGCTTTCCTTATCTAAAGTCGCAGAGAATTCAGTGATGTCTTCAGGAGAATCAGGATGCACAATCAAGTACTTTGGAGACTTAACCTTGTTCAAACTAGCCTTAGGAAGCTTGGACTTCAACGACTCAACCAATTCTTTATTTTCAACAGAAATGAAAGTCAAGTCTTTTCTGTTTCCGTTGGCAACTTCAGTAAAAGTTTCGTTAGAATTAGCCTTATCCTTATCGCCGTTGTAACCTTCTGGCAAAACTTGAATAATATAAGGCTTTTCTTGAGCATCGATCAAAGAGGTCAATTCTTCAGTCTCGACTGGAGACGAAACAGCTGGTAATGATTGCTTGATCATGTAATCAGCAATACCCGCAGCTTCTCTTGGACCATCATAGTCTTCTGGAGCAGCTTCTGAACCTCTCATAATTTTCAAAGATGGGTATCCTCTGATACCGTGTTCCATACATAATTCTTCTTCAACGGTACAATCAACTTGTGCCAATTTGATATTTGGGTGTGATTCGTTCAATGAATCAGCAGCCTGGGCAAATTCTGGTCCCAAAATCTTACAGTATCCACACCATGGTGCAAAGAACTCAGTCAAAACCAAAGGATTGGCATCCATGAAAGATTTGAATTCTGAAGTAGTTAATTGAACAACCGCTGAGTTTGGGTCCGCAGCGGCTTCGCCGTCTGTTGGTCCGCTAGCATTGACAACTGATACAGCGGTCAATAACGAAGCTAAAGCTTGAGTAGAAAATTTCCAGAACTTCATATTTACTTTGAACTATAAGGATATAAGATATTCTATGAAAAAGAGAATAAGAACAGAGTATTACATGTTTCCGGCCGATTTATAAGTGTAGAACCGCGTTACTTTGAGAACACGCTGTTAATTATTTGGGTGTGTACATAAGCCATAGCCATTGGAGCATCTTATTAATGAATATACTAGAATAATTCTTGGGTATCGCTAGTGCTGTGATATAGTTAGGGGAGTGTGGGATTGGTCTGTTTAAATTGGTAATCGATAGAAAGGATGTAGGTGAATCTGCGAGAGAATATAATTGATACTCCGAGCGATTGCAAAATTCTCTAGATATTATCAGACAATTGTTGGAGTTATATGCCTCAAATGGGGGTTGGAATTGCACACATCATGGATTACGAATTGCAGGCGATACCCGTCTATCGTAGATTAGAGGTCATACACGTATGTAAAAAATCGCTTCGTAGTGATTATAATTACTGAGAGCCGTTTGTCGCATTTGAAAGATAAAAAGTTGGACAGACTCTATTTTCTTCATTCATTTTCCTTATTTCACAGATAATGGCAAATTGGTTTCTATCAAATTTTCCCTGGAAGACAGTGGGTGTTTATTCGATTATTTTAACAGTCTTTTCTTTTTGGATTCTAAATCCTGCTCCACTATTTTTTATATTTTTGGGCGTTATTCCATTATCTATGTATTATGCTATAACCGCTGAAAATTATGATTCTATATTGAATGCAGAAATCGTTATTCTAGAATTTATTGACAAGAGACCGTTCAAGGAAACCGAATACATGAAAAAGGAAGAAATTTTGCAAGCTATCTTGTATAATGTTAACAACCAAGTGTATCGTAGAAAGGGAATTAATTACGGATACACCAGTACAAATGCCTTGCTTCTGACATATAACTCTTACATTTTAAAATTTGAAAACAAATATTTAAAACATTACAAAGATACACCTGTGGAAGAAATTCAAGGATGGGATAAAATTATGTTAGTAGCTAAAAACATTCAAGATGAAGATATAAATTCTGCTTATAAAAGCGTGGTCTCTCCAGAATTGATTGATAAATATAGTAAAAAAAAGCCAATGATTGCGTCTAAATCCGATGGTAAGCTGCTAGATGAGCATATTAAGAAAAGTAACTGAACAATAATAAAGGTACTAATTGCGTCCAATGCTGTTAAAGTTCGCGTATATGATGTGTTATTGAAACAATACAACGACTATACATTTTATTAGCCATAGTCTCAAAAAGATAGTAAAAATGAGATATTCAAATATGTCATGGTTTTCAACATTTAATAAAGTCCCTTAATGAGATGATTGAAATAAGTAAACCATCCCATTGGATGGGTCATGATTCTTTGTCTGGGAATTCCTGGAGCATTCATTCTACTAATGAATATACTGTATATTCTTGGATATGCTTAGGATTGTGATATTTGGTTATCCGAGAGTGATTTCGTCTGTTGAAGTTGATAATAGATATGAAGTATGTAGGTGAATGTGTCAAATACACATTAAGATTGAACTATGATTGCAAAATTGGTTAGATATTATTACATACTGTAAGATATGCGTAGACTTAGATGAAGTTGGGGATGTTTCTAGATGAGTTATATCTATTGGTCATAGAGAACGTCCAACTTTAAGTAGGGATGACCGGAGGGTTTTTTCAATCAATTCTACATTACGTGATACACGCTAAATAGATCCACGAATAATTTATGGAGTATTTCTAAAGAGCCCAGACCGTTGCGTACTTCCCATTCTGCAATTGCTAAAAGTTCCAATTTTTAAAGCAAAAAGCATCCAGAAGTTTACAACTATTACACCTTTAATAGTTACTTTATTAGCAATTGTTTAATATCTTTAAATATTACATACGAAATATATAGAATAGTTAGGAATAATTAAATTAGTTAATGCTAAATGAAAACATTCAGATTAGTTCAATTACATAATATTAAATAGTGCATCGTAACGAATGTAGTCATAAAATAGCTGCAAGTATAGTCACAAGAATGTTGTTGGGATATGCACTTCGAAAGATTACTTCAGCATTGATGTTTCAATGAACTAACAATTAATAGAGCTTTCGACCAGGGTTTGACCTGGACCTCATTGATAGATAGATTCCTATTGCCACTTCAAGGATTGGGAGTCAAATGGTCGAAGAGGACTATTATTCTTCGCACTCGCGTGTTTTCCACAGGTAGCACGTAGTTTTATATCCAATATTCTGTGAAAACTTTTAGCCTGCAGCGATAATGATATCAGATAAATTGTTTTGTGTGGAGTTGGTATACTAATCGTAGGTTTATATGCTGGATTTCTCTATATTATGCACTTGGATATTCGTCAAAATATGTTCAATGGAATCATCGAAGAGATCCTTATTCCGGAATTTATAAACAAAAGACCGTTTAGAGAAGTAGATCATCTGAGAAGAGAGGGAATTTTTCAGGGCATATTAAAGAGTGTTAATAGCAAAGTGAGTTGTAGAATGGGAACTAGGAACTTGATTATAAAAATACTGCGAGCTTGCTTAAGAGGTATAATTCTCATATTTCAAAATTTGAAGAAAAATATTTAGAACATTATGAGGATATATCTGCTGAAGAAATTCAAAGCTGGGATAAAATTATGTTAGTAGCTAAGAACATACAAGATGAAGACCCAGATTATGCCTCTGGTAATGTGATCTCTTCATATTTGATAAGTAAGTATACAAAAAACCAATTATTGTAGCTAAGGATAAAGGTGCTATGCTGAACGAGATAAAAAATAAGCGGAGTTAAATTGCATGAGGTTTAATACAATCTGTCTCGCATAGTGTTAAAATATTGTTTATCATAGAGTGCTAATTAGGCGTTCACAAGAATCGGATAGACCTTATTAATAGGTCTTTGATTGGGGCATCAATTTTGAAACACGCATCAGTCTAGGATTACCCAAATATTATATGGAAATGACTGACTTATAGTTAATACTTCATTTACATAATTATATAGTATTTCATCTCGTCTAAACAATATTTCTACAAGAAATCGTGCATACACGTAAGAGAAGTACAAGTAAAAAGTTTGGATTTTGAGAAACCAGTTGTCGCATTTGAAGAAAATAAAAAGATAACATTTTTTTTGCTATTTTCTTACTTCGCAGATAATGGCACATTGGTTCCTTTCAAACTTTCCGTGGAAAGCATTGGGAGCCTATTTGATAACTATATCTATTGCTTGCTTTTGGTGGGGACCTGCTCCACTATTTTTTGGTATATTTGTTGGCATTTTTCCATTCGCTTTGTATTGTGGTATAACTTTTGGGAGTTACGATTCTATATTCAACGGAATAATCAAGGAAATTATTGTTCCGGAATTTATTGATAAAAGGCCATTTAGGGAAACTGAATATGTGAAAAAAGATGAAATTTTACAAGAGATCTTACATAATGTTAACAACAAAGTGTATGGTAGAATGGGGATTCACTATGGATATACTACTACTAAACCCTTGCTTTCCGCATATGGATTGTATATATCAAAATTTGAAAAGAAATATTTAGAACATTACAAAGATATACCCATTGAAGAGATTCAAGGCTGGGATAAAATTATGTTGGTGGCCAAGAACATTCAGGATGAAGATCTAAATTTTGTGTTCGGAAATGTGATTTCTTTAGATTTGATTAACAAGTATAGTACAAAAAAACCAGTGATTGTACCTGAAGACAATAGTAATAGTAATCAGCTAAATAAAGATATTAACAAGAACAATGAATATGAGTTGAGTAACATGAAAGATACGGGAAAAGTCTCAGAGATGGTTTAGCTTGGTGTGTTGCTTAATATTTTAATTACATATTTAAACAGAACAGCCGCCGGAGGAATATTTAGGCTGATTAATTGATTGGAAATCAATTTTACGGAAAATATACTTATCTGAGTTGTTCAAAAATTTCATAGATATAATAATTTATTTTAACATTCAGCATTTATTTCAAGTAGAATTTCGGGCGATAAGATTTTGGAGGTGAGTAAATTTGTCACTCAACCTCAAATTTAAGCTTTTGTTTTTAACAAACATATAATGTCACACTGAATTCTATCAAACTTTCCATGGAAGACATTGCTCGTTTATATTCTACTTCAAGTGGCTGCATACTTATGTTTTGGAACCGATGGTGTATTTATTGTTCTCTTTTTGGGAATTCCTGGGACATTCATTTGCCTAATGGTATTCTTCATGCCACTTGGGACAACATTTAGCGAAATAATTGAAAAATCAAAAACCAATTATATGATGGGGACCAACTACGGATGTACTAGCACTAATGAGATGGTTCGCTGTTACAAAAGAGTTATGCCTAAATTTATTGAAGAAATTCAACGTTGGGACAAAATTGTGATAGCAAAAACTATACAAGATGAAGCCTTGAATAAGGATTATGAAAAACTAGTTCCTTTGGAATTAGCACATAAATATAGTAAATTCAAACCTCCATTGGAACTGACAACTGATGGCTACGAGCTACATAATATCGATAACTCAAAAGATGCTTCAAATATTGTTTAGATGAATTGTTCGTTTATTATTGTTTCTAATTATAGAATGAGTATATTCATCAAGACATGATCTAGATAGCCGCGATACAGGATTGACAGCGAACCGCGTATATAGTAAAATAAAATTCTAATTGTTCTATTTTATTTCCCAATATCTAAGAAAATGGTTCATTGGATTATAGCAAATCTCCCAAAGAAATCACTAGCAATATATATTGCACTTGAATGTACCTTTCTAAATCGGAATGGACCTGATAGCGAAGAATTCGTAGCGTGCACTATAATTGGAGTTATTTTTTTCATGTTTTATATTATGTTCATATTTGCTTTTATTCAGGCAAAATTTGAAGGTGTTATTACGGGTATTATTATTCCTGAGTTTATAGACAAACGGCCTTTTAGAGAGATTGATATTGGAAGAAAAGAAGCTATTTTACAGGAAATATTAAATAATGTTAACGATAAAGTTCAGTTTGCAATAGGGACTAATTATTCATACACCAATACCTTTAGTTTAGTAGATAAATACCAACAGTGCATGAGAACTTTTGAGTATAAATTTACCAAGGTATATAGAAATTTGTCTGTTGAGGATAATCTCTGGGACAAGATTGTGTCTGTGGCGCTGGATAGTGGAAATGACAATTTGAACAAAGCGTCTAGGCAACGTCCTGTGGAAATTCGAGGTTGGGACAGAATCATGTTAGTGGCTAGAAACATAGAAAATGAAGACATTGAGTATATTATGAGCAAGACATACTCACCTGAACTAATACAATCCTACGGTACGATCAGAGAAAATTAAGTTTTACAGAGCTATTTATGATATTCAATATTTTCGTAGAGGAATATAGGGTTTGAGTTTTTCTTCTGTAGATTATCTTTGGAATACACAATATATTTACCAAATCCTTATGAATATGGGTTAGACAATATCAATATTCTTTTGATTTCGATTAAGTGATATAGATGTAATGCATATAATTACAGTTGATTTAAAATAGAGTGGTCGTGGACCTGATCTCTAACTTCTACTGACCCACTCCTTTTTAGTATTCTACAGAATGGGCCATTGGTTTTTATCGAACATTCCATGGAAGTCATTGAAAGTTTATATTGTACTTGTGCTTGTAATTTTACTTTTTAATGGAGTGGAACGTACTCCATTCATAGTAGTTATTCTAGGAGGATGTTTTTTCGTGGTTTATATTCCATTCTATTATTCTTGACGATAATTTTAGAGCAATTAAAAGAAATATTATAATACCAGACTATATGGATAAACGACCGTTTATAGTACTTGATCCTTTAAAAAAAGAAGTGATTTTACAGCAAATACTTGCTAATGTTAACAATGCTATTAATATTAGAATGAGAACAAATTACTCATTTACAAACACCATTGAATTAGGATTAACATATAATGAGTGTATGACGAATTTTCTCGATGACTTTGACAAATCTGATAAGGGGTTGTCTGATAAGGAAATCAAGGGTTGGCATAGAATTATCTAACTAGATTAGGCTCAAAAGATAAGAAACATTCAATGCTGTTTGTTCCGGAAGCATTCGGAGAGGCCACATGCAGTTCGAACATATGCGATTATTGTTATTTGCAACCTCGATTTTCACTATGAACTAACGAGACGGAAATCTATCACGAAAAATTAGAAAATTATTGTCCCTAAAATTACGAAGATTGGACATTAAGGAAACAAATTTGACGAAAAAGGTGGAATATTTGCAGTGATATCTATGATAAGCAATTTTGAATGAAAAAAGATTATACCTTTGAAGACGCGGAACGGTTAGTCACGATGAAATTATTGCAGATTTACAGAGGTATTTTTGGATCATATAGAGATTTACTGCTCGAAAATACTTAAGGTTTGCGTAGAATGTTGTTAGTAGTTAAGAACGTTCAAAATGAACAATTGAATCGTATATGCTCCGATTTGGTCTCACCGGAAATAATTGAAATATGTTTTTCAAGAATTCTTTCGAAGGGGTACAGAAGTCTATAATTTCTATAATATAATAGGTATTTAGGCGGCATTTCGTCACGATACATCTGCATATGGACCTACTGGCTTTTGTAAGGTCAATAAAGCGTCAGAGAATACTTCACGAGAACGGATAATCGGGTAAGGGCATCAGAAGCTGTGGTTTTTGGGTTAAGAATGTAATTGGGGTGGTGATATCGCTCTAGCATTTCCATTGCTGATAAAAGTATCCCACTCAACTCATAGACCAGCAATTACTAGTTTGATGCAAGCAAGTTACGTATTAAGTCATTTCTAGCTAATAAATAGTTAACAGAAAAGTGTAGAAGTGCTAGGGAGTTGAAAGATGAGAGTTAGAGTTGTAAGGCATTAGACAAGTTCCAGGCGGGTGAATGCCTATACTGAGAGAAGAAAAAACAAACACAGCAATTTTGTCGAATCTTTGGTCCAATAATACCTGACAAATATCAAGATTCAAATGAATAAGATAAAAAAATAGCTTGTAGGTATGCATTATCTTTGTGATGATTTTGAAGCAATATCTTCTATCGTTGTCCGGGTACCAAAAGTCACTGAACTCCCTTCATCAAATACTTCTTCACTAGAAGAATTACTATCATTTCCATATTTGTCATCTTCGTCTGCTCTATCAGCAGATATAGCTTCGCTTTTAGCATTAACTCGATTGGCATGCTTATAGCTTTCATTAGAACCATTTGCTCTCAATATGTAGTCAAGAGTCTCAAAATCATTCTTCTTGTGTTCTTCATTATCTGTGCAGTCCGATAATCCAAAATCTATCAAAGATATCTTACCAGAAATAGACACATGAATGTTGGCTAGCCTAATATCATTATGCGAGATTCCTATCAGATGAAGCTCTTCGAGCCTTGACTTAATAACTTCGTACACTTCTTTGTTATTCCACTTTTCTTCTGGGACCTCCTTCCCAAGGTATTCAAATATATGCATCGGATGATCAGAAAGCCCGTTCCAATAACCAGAAACAAGGAGCTTTGGGAAATCAGAAGCGAATTCCGACTTACCAATTCTTTCATTAATTAAAAGCTCGTTGCAAAACATGCCATAATACCCCTCTTTTTCCGGTATCTCCAAACACATCAAACTATTCTCTTCCCACAATCGACTAGAGTAGTAGTATAGTTTGACAAAAACTGGCGATGGAAGTTTCAAATCAGGATAAAATTCTGCGGAATCGTATATAACTCGATAATATGTGTTACCACCAATAGCATCAAAGTTATCACTGACATCACTTTTTCTTATCGAGTCTAAGTTGCCTGAAAACCCAGGTCTATCCAATTTTCCCGAAGATCCAGATGTGTCTCTAGGGCGAACGTTGAAAAATGGATCCAGTTCTCTAATACTTTTTACGTCGGTGCTGCTGGCAACACTAAAAATTTCCATCAACCTGGCCTTTGTATCAGCTGCATCACCAACACTTTTATAAAAAAATCCCGNTATAGCCNACCTCAAAGTAATACCATCCTTCACAGTTTCTGGATCATGGATGATATGGTAGTCTATAATCATTTCGCCATCCACTATTTCATACTTGAAGAATCCTGAAAATGTTTGGTGGTCTGAAATAAGAATCCTATCCGTTCCGCAGAGGAAAGCTTGGTAGATATATTTGCTTAGAACCAACGCAAATAATACTCTAGACGACCACTCTCTATCTCGAAAGAAGTTACCAATGCAATGCAGCCTCAATCTTCTTCGGTTCAGAATAGCTGTCTTGAATTCTTCAAAGCCTTGCGTCATTTTATAAACTCCCTTTTGTACGCCTATCCCGAAAACAATATTGGGATATTGTATATCTGAATCCGACTCGCTTCTCATATGAATGATATCGGGTTGTATTGTTCTTCGTTGATCCAATGGGGGTCTTACAATTGAGGGACTACCAAAATAATTGTTCACATCACCAACATCACGATAAAGCTGCCTGATCGGAATTGCTATTTCATTAAAGTATTCTTTAATAGCTTGTTCCACATGCATTGCATCTCCCAGTGGGTAAGCATATTCTTGTGCTAAAGGTCGACGGCAAATATTCGATTCTTTAAGAGCACTATCAAGCGGAGCAAGATACCTATCCTTGAAATCATCACTACTCATCTTCCTAAATTCAGCTGTAATCAAATGCCCGGCTAGTATACACAAGAATAGGTATAGAAAACATATTCCCTAGGCCTACAGATGCATTACCCTTAGACACTAGTTTCTCTGTACAGTGTTCTTGCCCATCTTCATTACCCTGGATCTTAAGCAAGTGAGTATCCAAAAAGACTCTGGTATTTTGTTCATTGTTATTGAGAACCCTAATAAATAGATCAAGATTTACCCTAATGCATCGATTCTCAGGCTCATCGTATGTGATAATATCACTATCTCCCCTGAAAAATACATACACGGCAATATTTTATAGATATGAACATGGTATTTATTGATATGCCTATAATCTTTAGGGACTGTTGAGGTGTAGGGATGTTGAAATTGCGTATTTAATTTTATGATTATTGAGGAAATTCCTGAAGATATCACATGATTTGAACTCTCCTACTAATTTGACCGGGGACTGAATTCAACAGGTGTTCCCCTTACTGTCGAAAATGTATAGACTCAGCGGTAAGGATTCGAGAGTAAAATCAAACGGAGAGTAATTTGTTGCATCAAAGATAATACTTTTCTACTATATTTTTACATATAATGGTGCATTGGATAATATCAGATTTACCACTTGATTTCATGAATATCTTCACGTATGTTTGTACAACTATCAATGTTTTGGTTTTTGTACTGGAACCTACGTTCCCTTGGTTAATTTTTGCTATGGTTATGTTATTCACGATTATTGCTATCTTGATTGCTTCAATAACTATTCACTTTAAACAAAGGATGAACTTATATGATAAAGGTATAGAGAAGATTATTATTCCCGAATTTATAGAGCAAAGGCCTTTTAGAGAAGCAAATTTAATGCAAAAAGATGAAATATTAGCAGTCATATTAAGACACGTAAATACGAAATTCGTTTCCCAAATGAAGAAACAATATACTTTTAAGAACATAGAACAATTAGTGAAATGTCATGATTCTATTATTGCAGGATTCACTAAGAGATATTTTGAAAAATANACATTCAAGGCTGGGATAGAATGTTATTAATCGCTAAGAATATTCAAGACGAAGATCTGAAGGATGTCTATGCTGACATGGTTTCACCAGAAATAGCTCAGAAGTACAGCAGTATTCGACCAACTACTCAAGGAAATGGACTGGCAACGAACGGGAACTGAAAACTTTATGCAATATGATAGCAACATTCTGCTATAAATTATACTGGTGTATACCAGTTTGCTTAATATTTCATAGGCTATCAGTATAAAAGCATTCAACATTTTTAGTAGATAGTCCCGCAAAAGCAAATTGCAGATAAATCACGATCAAATCAAAAAAATCCATATTAGGACAACAATAATGTATCTATTATAGAATACGCTAAATAAAATATAATAGCAGGCATAATTTAATTTAATTCATACAGAATTAAAAAGGTCTTGTAAAGTTTTATCTCATAAGGAAGGAATATAACGTGAAATACAAGTATCAAAGGCAAAAACTATCAACCAATTGGCTTCGTCTTGAATCAGGAAAAACTTTTCATCTTGCTAGAGGTAATCCTACTTGCATTGTGTGGAATTGCATTACAAAATCTAATTTTCACAGCCGTATGCGTTCGCAGTTGAGATTAATCGAATTTTGAGATGAAGACAAAGAAGAGTGACTTTCTGTTCTTTTACCATGGTATGGTGTTTTGAATAGAAAATTTCCCTATCAAAGAACTCAGTCATATAGTATGGGACACTATTTTTTCGCCGAAATAATTGCCCATCATAGTATTTTATTAATATTATAGCATCACTTTTAAGCCATTATAAAATAAATACATACAATAAAATCGTATGACTAATGCCATCTATAGATGACAGCATTAATATACCCAATCATTATGTATATCACTTAGGAAATTCTAGAATTAATAATTAACATATTATATATAGTTGGAAGGGCTGATTTGAGGTTCAAGAAATTCACCACTTAAATATGATATTGATAGCTAAGAAAGTACGTGAAAAACACCTAAAATTTGTTCATTTATTATATCAAAACTTATAAATATAGAAAATCAATATCTCACAATACATATAATTATCAATAGTTTATTAAAAATGATACCTTTAGTTTCTGATTGGCATAATATTCAACTCGTTTTGTATAATAATTGACAGTTACGCTAGTGTGGTCGGACTCAAACTAATAAAGCCGCTCCAGAATTCGCAGCGAAGTATTAATCGCAAAAGTAACAATGAAATCCGATCTTCTTTATCTATTTATCTTTAAATATTCAATAAAATGGGCCACTGGATTTTATCGAACATACCATGGAGGTCTTTGCTAGTGTATGTTGCAATGCTTCACTTTAAGAGAATTAACAATGAAGTTTATATTCAATTAGGACATACTTTTTTTATATTTTATGTTTTGTATATTTTTACCAGGCTTCATCATAAGTTTGAGGCAATTATTAGAAATATTATCATACCAGAATTCATAGATAAAAGACCATTTAGAGAGATTAATTCCGCAAGGAGAGAAGCGATCTTAAAGGAAATTTTAGCTAATGTTAATAATTCTGTTAACTTTAGATTGGGGACGAATTATTCATTTACAGATACTATTGATTTAGTGATGAAATATAATGAGTGCATGAGCACATTTGTACGTGAGTTTGAAAATGCTTGTGAGGAATTACCAGACAAAGAGATTAAAGGGTGGGATAAAATTATGTTAGTGGCTAAGAACATGGAAGAAGAAGATATGGAATATGCTATAAACACCGCTTATTCGAATGATCTTATACAGAAATACTGCAAACGAATTACTGCCCCTAATTATGTCTTAAATGAACGATTAGATGAAATGCTGAAGAGTGGTCTGGGCCACAACAAACCATCATAGGAAAAATGTGAAAGTATAGGTGACTATACCACACAAGCATTAGTAGCGAGAAAGGTACTACAACTTTATCTGGCAATGTATATGCTTTCGTCAAAGCATGTTAATTATGCATTCAAATAATTGGGCAATGCTTTATCAATTAAATATTCCAAGTAGTCAATTGAAGGTATAAATGCTTCAGTACTTAATTTACGTATTCGATTAATAGCATCCATATACATGTTAATATGTACAATTTACATTAGCAATATTTCTATAAATACAAGCGAATTGAAGATGATCGTGACGCAGGAAAAAAGTTTTTTTGTTCATTCTTTGGAACATGGTACATTGGATGATACTAAATTTCCCTGTTAAAGAGTCCATATTTCATGCAGTGCTTATAATAGCTTGTGTTTTTTTTCCATGTGAGTCTAGGGCACAAAAAGTACTAATATTAATTGGTTTGCTTGGAGCCATCCTTGCTTTGGTATTGGGATTAGCCATGGCCTACGAAAAGGTAACAAGGGAATATAAGACATTGAAAAAAATTGTCCTTCCCGAATTTATAGAAAGCAGGCCAATTAAAGAATCGGATTTAGTAAGGAAACAAGAAACTTTGGAAAACATGTTAATTCATGTGAATGCCAAAATTATAGCAGAATTGAAGACAAATTATACGTTTAAAAGTACTGATCAGCTAATTGAGTTTCACAATGCGATTATTTCTGATTTCATGATAAAATATGATAAAGATTATAGGCATTTACCAGCTGAACATATCGAAGACTGGCATAAGGTTATGCTAGAAGCGAAAATGATGCAGCAAGAAAATTAGATGCCTGCGATAAATAACTTCTATTTGGCAATTCACCAGTCTAATCGAACTTTAACTTCTACAGAGTATGGCATAGTAAATACGATAACCTATATGTGCATATTGACAAGCAATTATCTTAACGATTTTATCAATAACATTGTAAAATATTTACGTTATTAATTTTACAGCATCAGATTTAACCTTCATATAATCCAATATAGAGTAAATTCATTCAATATACGATTTCACTAATCTGGGGTTACTCCTCTATATGCTTGTCTTAAATCTGAGGCTATATTATTTAAAGTCATAAGATACAAGGGACTATTTTTTGATTTTATCCTACATGCAGTTCACATATCTAGATCCTACATAAAAACCGACCCCTTGCTTTCAAGTAGGTTTCATTATTTTTCATGTGTAATGGTCCATTGGCTCATATCAGACTTTCCGGCTGGTTTAATCGGAATTTGCATTGAAATCGATGCAGTAGCGTATTTTGATAGCTAAGAAAATCCAAGATGGATATCTACTTTGATTTAGGCTCACCAGAAATAGCTCAAAAGAACAGCAGTATTCGACCCACAGTGACTCAAGAAAATGTACTGGTCACGAAAGGTAATTGAAAAATTCTCCATAACAGTACCATCCAGTATAGAGTTATTCTCGGTATCTTCAAACAAGATAATTAATATATATTGCATTTACATAGAGGCTCCACGAACCCATTGCAGATGATGACACTTAGGAAGATGAGATCGAAAGCATTTCTTGCTGAAAGAATTACCAAGAAATTTCCAATAAATTTCTAATTTAAACGAAGATTACAGATATTGCAAATGAAATACAATAAGGTTTTTGGGAAGTTATAGCCAATAGGAAAACAAAACTTTCAATCGGAGTTGTGTGAAAGAAAGGATCATGTCTAGGTCGTATACCTTACTATTATACAAAGTATTTATATAAAACATTATTTCTATAGTATTCTCTAATGGTTGGCATAGTATCATTCAATAATCACTATAACTAGCAATGGGTCATGGATAACAGCATTAAAATTTAAGGCCAAATGATTCAAGTCATCAATGTAGGGATCAATATAATATTGCATGTATGCAGTGAAAAAGACGAGTGCAAGCGAAATCGACCAAAAAAAATGATTCGCTGCATGAAAGATGAATACTTACTTTCCTAATAGTTTTTCAAGTATAATGGTACATTGGATGATATCAGATTTTCCTCTTGGCGCAGCAATAATCTATGGTGGCATTGATGTATTTGCATATGTTTTATTCGATCGTTTTTCTTTTGGGAGGTCATTCACATCTTTCTTAATCTTTTTCTTTGCTACCGCAACAATGTTGACTTTCACGCTACTTCACTACGAACAGATGATGGAAATTTATGACGAAAAACTAGAAAAAATTGTTATCCCTGAATTTATAGAAAATAGGCCGTTTAAGGAAACGAATTTGATGGAAAAGGACGAAAAATTAGGTAACGTACTAAGGATTGTAAATATGAAATTCCTTTCCGAAATGAACAAAGAATATACCATTGGAAACATAGAAAAGTTAGTGAAATTTCATGATAAGATTATTGCAAGATTTCTGAAAAGATATTTTGAAGCGTATAAAGACTTGCCATTAAAAGATATTCAAGGCTGGGATAGAATTTTGTTGATAGCGAAGAACATTCAAGATGAGGACATGAAGGATATATACGCCGATTTGGTCTCACCCGATATAGCTCAAAAATACAGCAATATTCGACCCACTACTAATAAAGTCAAACTGAAACATTACAATACCAAATAATAATTCACGGCACAATACATAAGTCTACTTGTCTTTATCAGTTTCCATGATACTTTATAGCCTAATAGTATGAAAAGCATATAACATTTGCAATAGAAAGCTTACTGGAACAGATTGCGGAAGTGATGAAAGTAAAATGTCGAAAGCAGAATATGGATATAATCTCGTATATCCTATTCTCTTATGTTGACAAATAAAGCTGCAACCCGAAGACAAATTAAATACTCATACATATAATATGCATATATATATTTGACTCAATTAATACAATAGCTCATTTCATTTCATCGAATGGCGGCAATATTACTGGAAAGAGAATTTTCGACTGGAACTACATATATGGGTAGACGATATTGAATCCCTAGAAGTTAGGAAATTATTTCTCGCACTCAAAGTCGAGAATCTTAGAGATATATTTTAAGTCTTTTTCACATATAATGGCCTATTTGCATCTATCAAGCTTTTTGTGGAAAGCATTGGCGTTTTATTTGATAGTTCTAACTGGTGTTTACTTTTGGTGGGGAATCAGAGGGTTATTTTTAGGTTTATTAGCTGGTGTGTTTTGTTCTTTTCTTATAAATGTTATTCACAAAGAACAAATATTCGAAGAAATAATAGACGAAATCCTTATTCCAGAATTTATCGACAAACGGCCATTTAGAGAAGCTGATCATCTGAAGAAAGAGGAAATTCTACAGGATATCTTGCATTGTGTTAATGACAAAGTAAACGATGAAATGGGAATTAAGTATGAATATACTGATACTAGAACGTTGCTTTTACAGTATAAGACTCTCATTTCAGAGTTTGAGATGAAATATTTAGTACACTATAAGAATAAACCTGTTGAAGATATTCGAGGTTGGGACAAAATTATGTTAGTAGCAAAGAACATCCACGACGAAGACTTAAATTTTGCCTATAAGAACGTTGTTTCCTCGGACCTAATTAATAAATATAGCACAAAAGAACCAACCATTGAAGCTAAATTCTATAAACCGGGCGATATTCCTGTTAATCTACTAAATAAAAATTTTCGTAGGAAAAATGGTGTAAGTAAAGAAAAACATTTCGATGTTTAGATTGATGTTAATTAGGAGCACAAAGCATGCATACTTTATTTCGATTTAAATTATCAAATAGACGAAATTTACTGTGGTTTCAACAAACAGGATGAAGTAATGCCGTTTCACCCTTCATTTACATATTTAGTCAATATATAAACTAATAGTGTTCATTCATATATGACTATAAAATCAGTATCAGAAAGGGCCCAAATATGATTTGATTCTACATGCAGTCCGAGTATGATAGCGAAACTGGCAATATAAAATCGAGCATCAAGATCATACTTCTTTAATTTATTTGTACATACAATGGTACATTGGATCATATCAGACTTGCCCTTGGGCTTAATCGGAATTTGTACCTGTGCTTATGCAGCATCAATATTCTTTTTTGACCCTGACTCCGAAGGGAAGATGCTCATTTCTGTCCTTGCTTTTTTAATATCGACCGTGGCCTTAATTAATATATCGATATACCACTACATTCAGAAGATCAGAATCTATAATGAAAAACTAGAAAAAATTGTCATTCCCGAATTTATAGAGAATAGACCTTTTAAGGAAACAAATGTGATGCAAAAAGACGAAATTCTAGCAATAATATTAAGAAATGTGAACGCTAAATTCGTATCCTCAATGAAAACAAAATATATCTTTAGAAACATAGAGCAATTAGTGAAATTCCATGACAATACTATTGCAGGATTTACTAAGAGGTATTTTGAAAAGTATAAGGATTTACCGCTCGAAGACATTCAAGGCTGGGATAGAATGTTGTTAGTCGCTAAGAACATTCAAGATGAAGATCTGAAGGATGTCTATGCTGACATGGTTTCACCAGAAATAATTCAGAAATATAGCAATATGCGACCCACTACTCAAGAAAATGGACTGACCACGAACGGGAACTGAAATCTTTATATCATATGATAGCAGCATTGTGCAGTGAATGGACTGGTCTATACCATTTTTCAGCATTTCATAGGCTAATAGTATAAAAGCATTCAAAATTTTTAGTAGATATTCACACGGAAGGACAGTGCAATCACGTCAAATCAATAAATTCATATTATGACAGCAATATTTTATTTACTATAACATACACTAAATTTTAACGTAAATTGCAGGAAGCAAGGAATAGAAAATATCAGAATATACACAAATAAGAAAAAATCTAACCTCATACTAGGCGGTAGCATCACAATAGCAATGTATATGGGTATTAGAATATAATAGCAGGCATAATTGAATTTAACCTACATATAATTAAAGACGTTGTAAAGTTCTTAACCCCAGAGGAATATAACATGAAGGATAAGTATCAAAAGCAAAAATGCTGTCTTCGAATTAGCTTTGTCTTGAATCAGAAGATATCGCTCTTTCTAGACGTTTATCCTACTTGCACTATATGAAATTGCACTACAAGATGTAACTTTCACAGTCGTATGCGTTCGTAGTTGAGACTAATCGAATCCTGCAATGAAGACAAAGAAGATTGATTTTCTGTTCTTTTACCATGTAGTATGGTTTGGATAAGAATTTTTTTCCCATCAGAAAACTCAGAAAAGTTGCGACTCATGTATTGTATACTTTTATTCGTCGAAAATCTGCCCATCATAGTGTATTATTAATATTATAGCATTACTTTCTAAGTTGAGCAAACTGTCATTATAGAATAAATCATTACAATAAATCATAGATTGACAGCATTATAATAAAGTTTGGCCTTAAATTTGACATGATTCTACATGCAGTTCGCATATTGAAATCAAACGCAAATCGATAGAAGACTGAAACACACTTTAAATTTTTTTCTATTCAGATATAATGGTGCATTGGATCATATCGGACTTGCCGTTAATTTCAATCGGAATTTTCACATGTATTTATGCATTTGTTTTTTACTCGTTTGTTCCTTCATCTCCTTGGATGATGGTTTCTGCTTTTGTTTTCATTCTAAATACATCCCTCGTTATGGCTATAATAACTGAGCACTACAAACAAAAGATGAAAGTTTATGACGAAAAATTAGAAAAAATGGTTATTCCTGAAATCATAGAGAATAGGCCTTTTAAGGAAACAAATGCGATGCAAAAAGACGAAATATTAGCAATCATATTAAGAAATGTGAACGCTAAATTCGTATCCACCATGAAGAAACAATATACTTTTAAGAACATAGATCAGTTAGTGAAATTCCATGATTCTATTGTTGCAGGATTTTCTAAGAGGTATTTTGAAAATTATAAGGATTTACCGCTCGAAGACATTCAAGGCTGGGATAGAATGTTATTAGTCGCTAAGAACATTCAAGACGAAGATTTGAAGGATGTCTATGCTGACATGGTTTCACCAGAAATAATTCAGAAATACAGCAATATCAGGCCCACTATTCAAGAAAATGGACTGGCCACGAACGAGAACTATAATTCTGTATTTCAAATGAAAGCATTATGACTCTATGTTGATCCGCATCATTCATCAGTTAACAATAAGCCACCATTTTCGACCTATAATATGTATGTTGCTGTAAACTGGTATTTTTTGGTTGAAGTATAATAGTAAACGTTAAAAGAGAAGTATTTTAAGTATTTATAGCGATGTATCAAGAGACTCAAATATTAAAATCATGTTAACGGCTAAGGATAAACATAAAAAGGAGAGATTAGAGATTTGGTTTAGATATTAAATAAATTCAATTAATACACTACTAGCATTGGTACTTTGCCAACTTAGCTACTTGGACCTCTTAGCGAATAAATAGTTTATTTTATTTAGGCCTTAGCGTAGTGAAAAATATGAAAAGGCGACACATATTGAATGATGTCGAGCGATCACATTTATGGATGTGAGAATGTGCTTTAAAACGTCATTTTACATGTATAAACTGTCCAATATAGAATAAACTTTTTGTAAGGCTAAACGATTCGAGTAGTAGGATGCAAGAGTAATTTTCTGAATTAAGCTATATACAGTTCGAATATGAGAACAGCGAAATTTATGGAAGAGTGATCTTGTTGCATGAAGCCAACACTTTTCTAATTCTTTTTTCAACTACGATGATGAATTGGATCATATCAGACTTCCCTCTTGGTGTGGTAACATTCTTTATTTGTATTGATGCGGTTGCATATTTTTTATTTGATTCAGAATCACTCTGGAGATTGCTCGTATGTATTTATACTTTCGCTATATCTATCGTAGCCATGTTTGGTTTCATGATGCACCATTACATTCAGAAGATTAAAATCTACAACGAAAAACTAGGGAAAATTGTCATTCCCGAATTTATAGAGAATAGGCCTTTTAAGGAAACAAATGTGATGCAAAAAGACGAAATATTAGCAATCATATTAAGAAATGTGAACGCTAAATTCGTATCCACCATGAAGAAACAATATACTTTTAAGAACATAGATCAGTTAGTGAAATTCCATGATTCTATTGTTGCAGGATTTTCTAAGAGGTATTTTGAAAATTATAAGGATTTACCGCTCGAAGACATTCAAGGCTGGGATAGAATGTTATTAGTCGCTAAGAACATTCAAGACGAAGATTTGAAGGATGTCTATGCTGACATGGTTTCACCAGAAATAATTCAGAAATACAGCAATATGCGACCCACTACCCAAGAAAATGGGCTGACCGTGAACGGGGACTGAAAACTTTATGACATTTGATAACAGCATTGTGCAACAGATTACACGGGTGTATACCATTTTTCAGCATTTCATATACTACTAGGATATCAAACATATATTAAATCCGCAATAGTTCCACCGACGCAAGTTAAGGTAACTAGAAAGACTATATCGAGAAAACATTGATATTGAAACATTGGATTGAGTCTACTCTGACATACCATTGAACCTCAGTATAAATGTACACCGGCACAAGGATCACAGTCTAATAATTTAAGTATAGATATCTATAAATGTACAACACTATAGAACAATAAATAATGAAAATGAAATAAATAAAGCATAAATATTTAGAACCCGAAAAAATCCCTCCATGTGGACCACTCATCCATTTCTACATCATAGATGTACGCCATGGAGTGTCTCAACGAACTCTGTAAGTATTGTGGCTGGTAATCATAGATGAACATAACTAATCCCCATGTCAACACCGCAAAGTATTTCCACGTCTTATTGTACACAGACGCCCTCAACTTCTTCTGCTGGTTGCCTGTCAACTTGGCATATGGTATCAGTTCTCCACTGGCCAGATAGAGCGTAGGTTGTCTACAATTCAAGTAGTTATCGAGTAGAATCTTCCCCACCGCAATCAAAACTCTCGAGAAACAATAGAGCGTAACCTGGTGGGTGATTCCCGGGTTAAAGTAGTTGAAATGCTGTGAATAAACTACCCACGATCCAAAACACCCCGCAAGAAATTTCACCAATCCCAGCTTGTCAGTCCCCATGATCTTCTCGCTAACCAACACTTTCACAGCGAATTTATATATTATCGCGAATCCAGCTAATACCTCGGCATGGTTCTTGGTCGCCTTCAACACCTGCTGCAATCTTGGTTTGAGCGGCCCAGACCTATACAACAAATTAATCACCAATGCATGCGAAAAACGAATCTTTCCTCCGTACACTATCCCATTTCTCGACGATCTAAGTACCTCCAAGAGTGGACGATAAAGCGGATTATTCAAAACACTCATATTCTTTTTTTACTTCCGTATGTCACGTTCTATTTCTATGTTATCTTGTTCTGCAACTTCTTCCAATCCAGACCCGTTGTATATGGTGTGTATTTGATTCTATTCACTAGTAATATGCTATCAATACCACCTATTTAGCCTATTCTTTATGTCCCGTTTATATTGTGGAGTGAACTTATACAGATCTGTATACAGGACCATTCCTCCACAAAAGTTAGGCCACTTATAAGTATACAGTCTACGCTATTCAGAACCATCCCTCTGTAAATCCAGAACCGCTATTCTCCTACCGCGTAACTTTTTTTTCCACCTGGTCCCATTAATGGTATAGACAGTAGTAGTGATCTGTACAGAAATCGTAGGTACAACGACAAGATCAGGCCAAAAATCGATCCCTAACCCCAATCACCATTATTTTGTTTCGATTTAAATTGTAGGACATGTGTATATTTCAATTGTGATCATCTGTAGTATAAACGACCCAACCGGTGGGATGCGGAGACCATTTGCATCTATTACAATAATATGAATCAGGTCAATTGTGAATAGGTAGAGAAGAAAGAAAATCAAAGTTACACAAAAACCTAGGCCAATTTTTTTTTGGTAGAAAAAAATTTCATTCTACCGACTAAAAATTTTTATAGTTAGTATAGACCGTAATTAATTAGCTATAATTCTAATTCTAACGATTTAAAATACAAATATAGGTATTTGGCAGGAACTATTTAACTTCATAAATAGGATTTTTACGAGTTTGAACAGTACAAATCGTCTACGCTAGTTGAACATCCATCCAGTTACAAAGGTTAGCATTCACATTAATCAAGCATATAATAGCCTAGTGTACCCGCCACCAATTAATATTTTCATATATTAAACACATAACATATTCTACAGCTGTTATATTTGATATACTAAAGGACACCACCTAGTATACCACCGTTTTAGTCATTAAATTTGGACATTTCCGCAAGAGTACTTAGGACGCTGAACACAATAATCGAAATGTCATCGCCAGTTTCGTACGCTAACGTCGCCAAGGGGCAAGTTCCAGAACAGGAATTGCATGAAGTTTCAGGTGAAGCTTCTAGAAGTGAAACCTCCGGGGTTGAGGTCATTTCGACAGAAGAACCACAAGAAGCAGAAGCAGCAACATCCGAGCCTGCTGAGCCTACTGAGCGTGCTGAGTCAGCTGAGACCAAAGAAAAGGAAGCTGCTAAGGAAAAGAAGCCATTGGCGCCAGCTCCAGTTCCTAGCAAGTCTGCTTGGGGTGCTGCTGCAAACGTGAGCAACAAACCAGTTGACGAGCACAAGTGGCCTACACCTGATAAGGCCAGTTTGTCAGATCAACAGGCCACTCCAACCCAAAAGCAGCAAAAATTCATTAAGCCTATTACCAACAAATGGGTGCCTATCAATGCAAAGGTTATCTTACCAAGTGGAAGAACAAACAGTCAGAAGCAAAAGCAAAACAAAAAGAACAAGAAGGGTGCTAATACCCAAAAGAAGCAAGTGAATAATCAAAGTGCCCAAAATACCAATAACAATCCAAACATGCAAGCAACCCAACCAGTCGCTGGCATAAGTAAGAAGGACGGTCAATTTGAATCTCCTGAGCAAGCCCAGCAACCACATGACGGTTTCAAGCCAAGACCAAATGGTCAGTTCCAAGGTCAACCTCAAGGTCAACCTCAGCAAAAGAATATGAGACGCTTTAACGGTAACACCAACGGAAGTTTCAAACCAAGATTCCCTAACCAGCCACCATCTCAACAACAGCAACAATCATCACCTCAGCAAAATGGTTTCTACCACCCTCAACCATTTGTTCAAAATCAAAACTACCAAAATTTCAATAACCGTCAATTTAGACCAAATCAATTCCGTCATCAAAATAATAGAAATTCATTCCACCAACCAATGAATGGATCAAATGGATTTATCAATAGTTCCATGGGATTACCACAACAAATTCCACAACAAATTCCTCCACCAATTTCACCAAAGCAAGATCCTCAACAAGCATTAACTCAACAAATCGACTATTACTTTTCTTTGGAAAACTTAATAAAAGATATCTTTTTGAGAAAGAATATGAACACTGAAGGGTGGGTTTCATTGGCATTAATTTTGAATTTTAAGCGTGTTAAAATAATTATCAACGGTATACAAAACAGTATTGAAAATAAAGAAATCAGTTCTAGCACCATTATTTTGGATTCTTTAAAACATTGTGAGAATTTAGAGATTAATTATTTAAATGGTAAAGATTTACAAACTGCTGATATTGATGACATTGAGTTGAGAGTTAAGGGGAATTATGAACAATGGTTGTTACCAAATGATAATTAAATGAGTTGAGTGATATATCTGCAGATATATTAACACAGAGAGATATCGATATAACTTCGAAATTTTTATTTGCATCCTTCTTTTCTTATGTTCATAGGATTAGATTATTATCGTTACAAATGATATTCGTCACTAATTACTATTATTTTGCATTATAATTTATTCATTAAAACATATCCCAAAATCCTAAAAAAAAAAAATGTTGTTTCTATTATAAAATTTAAAAAAAAAAAAAATTATATTATTGATTTTCTTGTTATTCTTATGACTTATCTTCTTATACATAGTTTCAATAGATCTCTATACATAATTAATAAAACCAAAATGACCAAAAAATTATGTATTTTGCTTAGAAAGTTTGATTTTTGAATAATTCCAAAATTTATAAATTTATGTAAAATATTAAAAATATTAAGAATGGCTTAAACTTGGGAAAAATTATATTTAATTATATATTATATTAGAAATATTAAAAATGGTTTGAACTTGGTCAAAACTATATTTAAATGCATGTCTGATTCGCATAATTAAATAATGTTCTATGCTATTTTAAAATAAACATATGCAATACTAGCCCTATATAAGAACAAGATTTTATTTGTTTTCACTATTACCGCCACGATAACTCAATTCATACTCATGCATTCCTCCACCAAAAGTATCATAATCAGAGCGATCAAAACTCTTCGAAGACTTACTGCTCAGCTTTAATTCGTCAACAATTTGCAAATTTCTAATAATGAACTCGTCTGCCACTTCAGAATCCAAATTGTCTAAATCCTCCCGCGGGATAATCAAAGGCCAGACCCATTCAGCACATATGGCAAAGAACATAAGCACTCCCGGAAATCCTATAGCTCCTTTGGTCAAAGTTATACCGAATTCAAAGCCAAATGCAATTAACTGAAGCACCAAGTAAACGTAGAACCATTTTTTGTTCGGTATTCTATCAATATCTCTGAACACTTGAGGGCACGTTGGATCATTTTGAATATACTCAGAGTCCATAAAGATATATCTAATTCTGTTCGTGATGATGTTCCCATGTAAGCCGGTGATACCCATAACAAAAAACAAACCAGCAAGTAATGCTTGAGGAATCAATCCCAAGACAACTAAAAATGGTCGACTCATCATCACAAACGTTAGAATGCCTTGAGCTGTATTTGTGACTCTCTGTTCAACAACAGATAATACTTCTCCTGTTTGGAGATTATGAATAACTAACGATTGTGTATGAAGAGGCGCTTGTGGTATAAGACCATTGGGTGCTGGTAGTCCCATTATTCCCGCTATGCCTGTAGTTATACCGAGTAATGTAAAATCCCAATGGAATGATGAAGGTTTTTCCAACGGAAATTCCTTCAGCTGACACATAAGTGACGAGACATTATGGTCAAAATAAAACAAAAAGGTCAACAATATAGCAAAAGGTATGGCCAAAAATACATCCGCAACAGCTATATGAGGTGGCCAGAAGTGAATGAACCAGCCATGAGTTCTTCCTTCTCCTTGATACGTAGGTTGGTATGATTGCGTAATAGGCAATCTATCCAATTCAGTGTCTTGTAAACTACCTCCAAAATGAATAAAGCCGGTAAAAAATATAATACTCGCAGGAACACCATAATCGGTAAATATTTTTCTAATCCAACCTTTGAAATAATGCAATGAACTGCCGAAAATAAAGCTTCCGACTCCAAATATAACCATCAATAAACTGATCATTACAGAACAGTATCCACTCTCAATGCTTACATTTCTGAATTGGTTATTCAAAATCTGCACTCCCTTTTGAAGATAAACGACATTGATGAAAAACCCAAAGACATCACACGAAAACAGACTAATAATCTTCAAGTAAGAAATTAAATTCCCAAAAGAGATGACGAAATGCATAACCATAGACCAAAGGTATATCCAGCACATAAACGGAAAATAAGGTGTTCCCCGTGGCTCCATCAATTCATAAACCGTATAGCTGAAAATCGAAATTGGTCCCGTAACTCCTACCATACACAAGGGTTGGCCCGAAAACAACCCAAATGCAACTCCTGCCATGGCCGAACTCATCAAAACCTCGTTCAATCCATATTTATTGTCCGTCTTATCAAACATATCTTGCGCAAATGCTATGGCCGGCAACAAATTAGTGAAAAATATGAATGTAGTGGATGGTATCACTCTGTAGTTCCATGCGTCTGTAAAGTCAGATTTGTAGTATGGTAACCTGTTTCGCAAGTCATTATATACACCATACCCTATATATCTGAACCACCTAAAACTAAGCTTCATTTTGAAACGAAACTGCAGATATCTAGAAACATATAGTGCAATACTACATCAATATTATAGAAAAATTGTAAAGTATTATAGATATTGACTTAATTAAGCCTGCATAAAAGTGATAAAATGAAAAAAGTTCGTAAATAAATTGGAGCCATCATTGGAACCATATATTAAAGTCTAAGAAATCGGTTTCGAATCTAAGCTTGTTTCTTTGCTCTTCATGCTGATACTACTTGTACTACTATTTATTGACGCAGATGTGTCAGTAGTACTCCGTACGGGCTTTGATTTTGCCTTCGATTTCTTCAGTTTTAATTTCCTCTCCTTTCGACGGCGACGAGCACTATTAAGCTCTTTTGACGCTCGTGTCACGAAATAACCCGCTGTAAATAACAATGCAAGCATTATACCTATGATAATAATAATAATACGTTTGCTGCCACCTTCACTTTTAATAAACCTACACGTTTATCAATAATTGTATGGATTGCGGTGCAATGAGTTCTATGCCAAGAAAAACGTGCTGACTGTTATCACTATCTACTACAAAGAAGAAGAACATGCTCGGTAGTATCGGAAGTGATACTGAATTATAATTTGCCAAAATTTGCAATATTCGAAATAGGTCCCTTGGCCCAGTTGGTTAAGGCGTGGTGCTAATAACGCCAAGATCAGCAGTTCGATCCTGCTAGGGACCATTTTTTTTTTTCATTTGTATGCGTATGGTTCCATAGATCTTGGTAAATTCTACAATGTCTGAATAACGGCATTGAGCGTCTACTATTTATGGAAGATCAAGATAATTTAGTAATTGTACACATAGGAGCAGGTAACCATTCTTTACTGAAAAATGATAAATATAAGAAATTGATTAAAGCGGCTTTAATAGTGAATGAATCGGAAAGCGTATTGACTGAAGTCAGTAAGAAATTAGAAAAGTCAGTTTTGACGAATACTGGATACGGTTCGTCGCTAAATTTGATAGGGGCGGTTCAATGTGATGCCAGCTTCATTTCATACGATAGGGAGCACCGCGATACTCAGTTAGGAGTGATGTATAACATAGCTAATAAATACCCGATAACTGAAACCTTGAAATGCTTCGAACAATTGGATAGGTTATATTCGACGGGCTTCAAGTCGTTTGGCCTTTCAAGACCGTTGATGTTTGATCATGGACAAAAGCCATTATTGGACGAGCTTACTAATACGAAAGAAAATGTTGATACGGATACCTTAGTATCGTCCAGGTGTCGGAAGATCTACGATACATACAAAGACACATTGATGAGCGACTACGACCAACTACCAAACGAGACAGATTATATTAAAAATGAAATACAGGATACGATAGGTATTATGCATATTGATAGCAGAACTACAGAGATAGCAACTTCATCAGGAGGTAACTTTTTTAAGTTTCCAGGCCGAATAGGGTGCGCAGGCGTCCTTGGAGCTGCCATAGGGCATCGAACAAAGAATGAAATCTCGGTTAGCTGTATGTGTAGTGGTAATGGAGAGGACATCATAATGATGAATGCAGCAGGCCGAATAGCTGACCACATAGTAAACAATTCCAGTATAGATTACTGTGACGCATTAGTGGATATCATTCTGCAAGCCAGCATAGACGTGCCATTGACAGCAGTGGATAAACACAACAATAGAATCATATACATGGGTGCCATATGTGTAATACATGACCTAAACAGCGGTGCAAAATGGCTAGTGTACTGCCATAGCACCGAATCGTTCTATTTTGGATTCAGGTCTCATAATAACAGGCCCGAATTAATTTTAAGTAGATTAGATAGCGATAGAGTAGGTCAGGTATTTGCCAGGGGCGAGTTCAAAATCTAATACACTTCGTACAGTTACAATAAAAACATACATTAAAGGAAACGATATAAAAAAAGAACCACCAAACTTTCGAAAAAGTTTATATATATTTATATTAAAAATACATCAATTGTTAATCTAATTTGCGTTAACATCATATTTTAACTTACTCAAACTTAACGGGAAGTGGCGTGGACTTTTTGGAAAGCACCCTTTTGTTGTTGCTTAGAGACCTTAGATTGAGCACCAGCAGCGGCAGACTTGGCCTTTTCAGCCTTTCTAGCAGCCTTATCAGCTTTCTTTGCTTCCTTGTCCTTAGCTAACTTAACGTCTCTGGCAGCCTTTCTGTCAGATGGCTTTTGGGATCTTCTTTCTTTGATCAATTCTAAAGAAGCACCGACAATAGCTCTTTGGTTCTTGACGGTCTTTCTAGTTCTTCTCTTAGCGCTTTCTTCAGAAATACCCTTCTTGTGTTGTCTTCTGTATAAAACAGTCCATGAGATTCTTCTTGGGTTCTTTCTTTGGTGGAATAAAGAGGCAGATTTAGATGATTGGAATCTGAAAATCTTAGAGTCTCCTCTAACGAATAAAGTACCTCTACCTGGGTAGATCTTAGTACCGGAAAATGAGTCAAGTTCAACCTTCATTATAAACTATTCTAGTTAGTACGCAGTTCAAAAACTTTTTCGTCGACCGGTGTAGACGGGGTATCCTCGACAGCATAGGTGACCTGTTGATCATTTCTCTTGTTATATTCTTTCCCATGCTATATCAGGTCCTCTATCTCGTCATATGTGCCGCTAATATCATGCGTAACATACCTATTAATCGTTGCTTTAACAATCCTTGATAGTAAATAAAAATTTATTAGTAACTTTTTCAATTATGTCCCAGTGTTAGTCGCAATTTTTCACCTCTCGCCCAATTCGGGTTTCGGTTACACAAAATGGCCCCGGCCCAGAGACTTAACTATGAGCTTTGTGTCACATCTCTCGGATGAGCCCTCACTATCGACACGGTGCTAAGACTCGAGAATTGGATGATACACGACTAATTGAACTAACGGCCGACTTAAAAGTGTATATCATGTGATTATTGTGACTGTCGTTTGTCGCTCACAATCGCAAAATTTTTCACCCTCTGGTGAGCATCGGACATAATAAAATTAATTTTCAGTTGTATTCTTTTATAAAGAGAAGAACTCATCTAATCACCTCAAGACCGGAGTGTATAATTATATAGAAACGCAGAGATGGTCAGTATCTTATTTACAGATGAATGGATGATTGTCAAATAGAAAGCACTGAGAAGGGGCTGGATGAACGAAGATAGAGCCATTAGATTGGACTCGAGTTATTGGAAATCCGAAACAGAAACGGTGTATTTGGCAGGTCACTATTTATGGATTGCAAACAGTGGATGCAAGCATGACGCAGAGCATTATACTAACAGTTAATAGGCCCCAAAATCAAAGAGCAGCGACAACATTAACGCTAAGTTAGGTTTAGTTATTAAATCTGGTAAGTACACCTTAGGATACAAGTCCGCCGTCAAGTCTTTAAGAACTGGTAAGGCTAAGTTAATCATCATTGCTGGTAACACCCCAGTCTTAAGAAAGTCTGAATTGGAATACTACGCTATGTTGTCTAAGACCCAAGTTTACTACTTCCAAGGTGGTAACAACGAATTAGGTACCGTTTGCGGTAAGTTATTCAGAGTCGGTACTTTAGCTATCTTAGATGCTGGTGACTCCGATATCTTGTCTTCCATCAACTAATTTTAATAGGTTTCTCGTTAATTTGTATATTAATAGACGGATTTCAATTACTGAACATGTAGACACGGCGAAGTGCACTCAGGAGCACTACAGTCATTGTGACTCTTTACAATTTGGTGGTTGTTGCTTAGAGACTAGAGTAATGCCTATATTGCGCAAACTTAGACTACTCTATACCGTAATATACATTTCCGCTGCGTTCATATGCTAATCTTCTGACGCTTAGTCAATTGGTCCTCCAATTCCTGTATTTCTCTCTCTTCCTCTGCAATGAGTTCGTCGATATCAAAGCTGTCGTCGGGGTTTTCTGTGTTGTCTGACGATTCTTCGTGGGATCTCTTTTGGCCTCGAATTGGGCTTCTATCGATGGGGCTTCGTTCGCTCAAATTGATATTGTAGAAGTTCAATTGGTCCTTTTGTTCGGACACCACCTCTTCTAACTCGTAGATTTCGTTGGTAAGACTGTTGTATTCCTGATGATATACGATGATATCACTTAACAATGTTGCATCGGGTGCCGTCTTATTTTTCTGAATCAAATTGGGATACCTTCTAATCAAACCCAATATCGTCTCACATATGTCGTTGATGTTGTCTGACAGGATTATCGACTCCGGTATTAAGTTCACATTGATGATTTTCTCAGGTGAACTGGGGGAATCGTTATTTTCATGTACATTTTCAATCGTTTCTTTTACTACCTCAGGTATCCTCACAGCCATTCTCTTGGACTGTTCTGAAGGAGGCGCTTGTTTGTTGTTATTCATGTTTAGGTTCGTGAAATCATTGAAACTATAATCCACATAGTATGATTTACCATCGATTCTTTCTGGCCTCATCTCAAGCTGCATCCGTATCGACTCTTTGTCCTTATCATTTTTATTATTTGGAATCAACGGCTTAGATAAGTTGTTAAATCCCCTAGGTTTGTTTATTTTATAGAGCGCCTGCTCATGTTCCTCTGCATCTTTTAATAAGCTTGTTATTGACGGTTCTTTTATGAACGAATTTGTAAATATTCCAGGAGATTGAAACTTTAACGACAGTATGGACTCACACAGTTGTTTTGTTCTGTCTAGAAAATAACTTAAGGATGGCATGCTATCGAATGTGATTTATTCTGGAGTCTAAACTGTTTGTTTACATAAAAATTTCCTATATCTATAGTGATTAATTCAAATCCTGTATATAACGAAATGCCATATACTCATCAATAAAGTCAGCAAATCTGTTCTAGACATTCAATCACTAGTTGTCCCAAGAGAAAACTACTAATAATAATGACGGTTGATTTAGACCAATATGCCAAACCTGGTAAAGATTACTATCTTGCATTAGGTCTCGAAGGTTCAGCCAATAAACTCGGCGTTGGTGTTATAAAACACAACTTAGGACAACTTTCGTTAGATAATAGAGCTGAAATATTATCCAATGTTAGGGATACTTACGTAACTCCTCCCGGAGAAGGATTTTTACCAAGAGATACAGCACGTCATCATAGAAATTGGGCTGTTCGTATAATTAAAAAAGCATTAATTGAAGCAAATGTGAAAGGTAGCGACCTTGATTGTATTTGCTTTACTCAAGGGCCAGGTATGGGTGCACCTTTACAGAGTGTAGTTATTGCAGCAAGGACATTATCACAATTATGGGATTTACCATTGGTGGGTGTTAACCATTGTGTTGGTCATATTGAAATGGGTAGAGAAATAACTGGAGCTGATAACCCAGTCGTATTGTACGTAAGTGGAGGAAACACCCAAGTGATTGCATATTCCAGACAAAGATATAGAATATTTGGTGAAACATTGGATATTGCTATAGGAAATTGTCTAGATCGTTTCGCTAGAACTTTACGAATCCCCAACGAACCGGCACCAGGGTATAATATTGAACAAATGGCAAAAAAAGGGAAGCATTTGGTACCTTTACCTTATACTGTCAAAGGAATGGATTTATCTATGTCTGGTATCTTAGCTCATGTTGATTCTTTAGCAAAAGATTTATTTGCTGAAAATAAAAACAAAAAATTAATCGATGACGAGACAGGAGAGCAAATTACATCTGAAGATCTTTGCTTCTCTCTTCAAGAGACATTATTTTCGATGCTCGTAGAAATAACAGAGAGAGCTATGGCCCATGTACAAAGTAATCAAGTATTAATAGTTGGGGGTGTCGGCTCCAATGAAAGATTACAACAAATGATGGAATTAATGGTTAATGACAGGAAAAATGGGTCAATTTTTGCAACTGACGAGAGGTTTTGTATTGATAATGGTATAATGATTGCTCATGCTGGTTTGTTGGGTTATAGAATGGGACAAACTAATGAATTATGGAACACTGTCTGCACTCAGAGATTCAGAACTGACGAAGTATTCGTTAAATGGAGGGATGATTAAACTTATTAATAGATTTTCAATCAACTGATTTTAATATTGTAGGTTACTAAATAGTGGCAAAAGTTAATGCAGGTTGATCGATATATTACATTAATCTGAATTAATTATATAGTATTTCAGAATACTATATTTTGCCGTATATAAAAGCAAATTTCTAAAAAGGCTTAACTATTCAAAGATATACTATATTTGAGTCAGATACGGATTTTACATTCATTTGAGTTCATTGCGAGCCTCTTTTAGGATAAAGTTATTAAAAAGCTGATCCATATACGTATCACATTTTAAGGAAATGTTCTTAACGGCATATTTTGAAGGAGGATTAAAATTTGCTATTTGATTCAGCTTACCTATTAGTCTCGTAATTTGTCGAGCTTCATCCAGACTAATTGAATTCTTTTCTATATTACCAATGGGTATTATTGAGGTATCGTACTTACACTCTCTTAATAAACTAGCCAACTTTCTGACTTTCGTCCTATCCCAGAGAGTGGCACTTTTCTTGTAATCATGATTAACAGCCAGCTGAGCACTTTTAGGGTTTTCAAATTCAACGATACCTGAGTCATATCTTGAATTTGTCGTGTTCGGAAGTATTTTTGCAAACTTAACTGGTCCAAATATTATCATCATTTCTTGCAAGATATCTGGCGTAATTAACTCTTTTAGTTCTGGCTTATGCTTCCATCTAACAATAGTTTTAGTCGTCTGATTGTTTACACTGTCAACTTTATCGTCATCTATGCTCATTAAAGTAGATATTTTCTCTGACTTAAGCGATATGTCGTTAAAAGATACATATTTCTTAGCCTGGCTAGCGGCTGGAACAGATTGTTCTATTATCTCTTTTTCATGAGCTCTACGCTTCCTTAGACCTTCTTCTTTCAATTTTTCTAAGTTATTTTCCCATACTTTCCTTTGCATGAATTCTCTATTTGTATTATCAAATACATTGGCATTGTTAAACTTATATTCTCTTTCAGCCTTTTCCAATTCTTCTTTGAAGGCTCTAGTTTGTTCAGACAACTTTTTCAGTCTTTCTATTTTATTGATCTTGAGTTGCCGTATCCTATCATAATTAGACCTTAATTTGTCATTGGTTAATATTTCATATATTTGTGATAGTAAATGGAACTTCTTAGCAGCATCTTCACTGGGATTTTTATCAGGGTGATATTGTAATGCCTTACGTCTGTACTGACGTTTAATTTCACTTTCTTCGAACGTTGGGCCTATTTCTAGGAATTCATAAAGATCAAAATCTCCGTTAACTATGCTGTCAATTTCATTAGACATTATTTACGCTAGAATCGTTCTTCAGATGATTTCATTGTAGATATAAATTATTATATACATTGTTTATATACACACCCATCTTAAAGTTCGATATGGAGGGTAGTCCAGAGACTGAAATACCTATACGTAAATCAAATAGCTGTCTACAGCTACTTAGTAACCAGGTATAAAATAACATTCTAAGAATATATTATTAATTATTTCTAGAGATGTTTAATAACAGTATGATAAATTAATAATAAAAAAGACCATGCATCTCAATTTTTAGTGTCTATTTTCATAAGATTATGAATATAATAAAATAAGCCAAAGCATTACCAAGGATAATAGTTGGCAAGGAAAACAAGAACAAAAACAATATAATAAAAGGTTATGAGGACATTACAACGTATAACTAAAGATAACCTCATGTTTTTTTCATTCATCCACATCTACTAATCTCTAACAATTATACTTTACAATCCGACATTTAAACCCCAATACCATTCAGGGCCAAGTTTTAGTCGATGAGGATTTATTCAATGAATAATTTATTCGATGAATATGCGGAGAAATTCAAGCCTTAACAGTTCTTAAGCCGTGGTTGGACCTGAAGATAGCATCACCTTCAGAGTAACCTCTACCTAAACCAAAACCAACACCTAACCAGACTGGGAAAGATCTTCTCTTGAATAACAAAATCGAGGCCAAGACACCACCACCGAAACCTAAACCGGTCTTGATTAAAGTGTTTGATAAAACAACATCCCACTAAAAAATAGTTAGTAATTGAAGCTATTAAAGTTAAATTGAATACTCCGTTAAATACAGCATATGGGACGCCTTCGAATACTTCCACATCGTAGTCATAACCTACTCATTTGACAGTTCCTTTGTTTCGTTTCGATAGAGCTCTAAATTGATCTAACAATGGAATGAAAAATTACTTACTTTATCATTTAATAAACTTTGAGATGGAGCTGCAACTTTTTGTTCAGTAGACATCGTTCTAAAACATTTGTTAGTATTGACCAATCTTCGTTACCGGTTTGGAAAATCTTGCGAGAGGTACATATTTTTAATATCAATGGCTTGATTTAAGTAGCATAACCCCGTCGCGATCTCATGATAAATCAGTTCACATACTTTACTTCAGAATAAGGTATATATAATAATGATGTTGAATTTAGCAACAAGACAATTATCTATGGTCCAAGCTTGAAATTTATGAATGAAATGGTTGGACGAGATTTAAGGACGAGCACTGATTAAATTACACAAAACTACTCAACTATGATATTGTTGTCATACAAAAAGATCATATACTACAAAAATCTAAGGATACCTTCTCATTTAATAATCAAGAACATATATAGTAACAATTTTATAGTGAAGTGTGTTGTGTAATGGCTCTACATTAATAGTAAAAAAAAAATACTTGTAATTTTGCAAATGCATGTTTGGTAGGTGCAGCCAATAGGAAGCATCGCTCAAGATAGACTGAAGTCTTCTGAATACTCGATAAACCATATACATATGTATCTACATCACCCTTAGTTTGATTTGAAATGATGTACGCTTAGGAAATATGATGGAAGACATTAAACTGAGCGATAAAAAAATGATTTCGCCCAGGATCGAACTGGGGACGTTCTGCGTGTTAAGCAGATGCCATAACCAACTAGACCACGAAACCATTTCTGAAAACTATATTTTTGATAGCTTTTATATTACGTAGTTCAAATTAATTATAACCATTAGGAAGGGATGCTATGATCAAGTACAAGAGGGTTATATGTTCAAACCAACGTATCATCCCTTATAATCATGTCTTATAAATATTCTGTATAAATAATTTGCGTCACTTAATTTGAAACAATAGGTCGTTTTGGGTGAGCGATAAGATTTGTACACAATCACCTCCGTACTACGAAACTATTTTAAAACACGAAACCATATTTTTTATATATTTTATAATTAACAATTTAAACGGGGGCTTTAGCAAATGAAGATATAACATGAAGGGTAGAAGAGGGAGGTCAAAAACTCAAAAGATTTGTATGTCCTCGGACCAATCTAAAAGTCCCACGTATGAACATGGTTCTAGCTATCAAAATAGTGATATTGATAACGATAATTCGAGCCCCAACTATTATTTCGAGGCAAATTTGGCTAAGAATAGAACACCCAGATTAGAATATACGAACATAGATAAAAATGATGTTCCTATTCAAACTCCAGGTAGTGATAGACGAGTACATCGAATCAAATCATTAAACAAAATCGATATTCGTTCACCTATTGTACCTCGAAATTCTGTATTAACGCCTGGAAGTTACAACTTTGGTTTAGATAGAGCACACAGTGCAGACATATACCGCAGTAATCATACGGAACTGTCGTCCTTGAATACGTCAAGGACAAATCCTACAATGGCTTCTAGGCTATTAAGCGGCATTCCTGATAAGCTTTACGCCATGCGCGACTATTATAATGATTTTACTACTATCGACTGGGCTAAGGCTTTTACACTCACGAACAGATTTAATTATGAATTGCATCATAACAAGTGGATAGTAGATAATCCGTCAAATAGTGAAGAGCGGGAAAGCATAAACATTCCGTTTTATTACAAAACGTACTTGGTGTTAGGTAAATGGGTCCTTATCATTATTATTGGCTTCTTATTTTCGCTAATTGCATATCTGATTGATAAAATAGAGATATTGCTAGTGGGTTTGAAACACGGTTATTGTCGATCTAATTGGTTTGCGAGCCAAGTTTCTTGCTGTGTTAATTCAGAACCCACTATTCCCCCTCCACCGACAAATTCAGTATCGATGAATATCTTCAAATCTGGATATGTTTTCAGTACCAAGCCTAATAACCAAAAAAGCACACAATGCCCAGATTGGATTTCGTGGTCGACGCTATTCGAAAGGCAACCATATGAAAAATTAAGGTTAGACTTTGTTATTTATGTTGTACTAACATTAGTCCTTGCCTATTTGGCCTGCATTGTTACTCTATCTACAAAAATTACTAGTCGATTGTCAGTAGCATCTAGTAAGAAGAATAAGATGAATATGGATGAAAGCTCGACTAACTTATTGGGACAAAATAGCTATATCCGAAGAAAAGAGGTTGACGATGATTATTCATATGATGAAAATGAAGACACCAATGTTTCTGCTAGAGTTATGTATACTGCTTGCGGATCGGGGGTACCCGAAGTTAAGACTATACTTTCTGGGTTTGTTATACGTAGATTTTTAGGTACCTACACACTATTTGCAAAAACCATAGCGTTGATATTTGCAATAGCTTCGGGTATGGCATTAGGTAAAGAAGGCCCATATGTTCATTTGGCTACTGCAGTTGGTAATATTATGACCAGATTTTTCCCTTACATAAATAATAATGATTTCATGAAGAAACAAATTCTATCTGCAAGTGCTTCTTCTGGTGTAGCATTGGCATTTGGTTCACCGCTAGGAGGCGTTTTGTTTATATTAGAAGAGATTAACCATTACCTTCCTTCTCATCAACTATTTCAAATTTTCTTTTGTGCTATCATATCAACCTTATTTCTAAAATTTCTTAATCCATATGGGACTGGAAATACTGTGTTGTTTGAATTGAAGTATACTTCTGATTGGAATGCGGTTGAATTAATATTCTTTATTATTATTGGAATTTCAGGAGGCATATTTGGAGCTTTTTTTGTACGCTTTGTTGGATGGTGGCCAAAGAAATTTCGTCAGTTGAAGATGATAAAGAACCATCCGATAATCGAAGTTTTTTTAATTTCTCTCTTAACTGGTCTTGTCACCTTTTGGAATCCATATACTAAACAAGCATCATCTGAATTGGTGCTCGATTTAGCCACTTCTTGTAATTCACAAGGGTTAGATCTGTCTTTATGTCCTGTCACTCATGAACAATTTGTAAAAGAATTGGGTTCATTAATTTTCGCTTTAGTTGTTAAAATGGTTCTTACATGTCTAACATTTGGCTTAAAACTTCCATGTGGTATATATGTTCCATCCATGGTAGTTGGTGCGTTATACGGGCGCACGTTTGCTATGTTTATTCAGTGGTCAAATTATAAGTACAATTTAAATTTGGGAGATCAAGGAGTAAATGGCCTTTCTACATCTGTGATGAGATTTATTTGTTCTCCGGATTCTTCGAATAATGAATGTGTTGATCTCGGAATATATTCAATGATTAGTGCTGGTGCGTTTATGGCGGGCATAACCAGAATGAATATCACATTGGTCACGATACTATTTGAATTAACAAGCTCATATACTTATGTTTTACCTATTTCAATTTCGATCGCGGTTGCAAACTGGCTGGGTAGTTTGATAGAGAAGAAGTCGCTATATGAATCGTTATTGGTGCTGAACGATTATCCATTTATGTCGCCTGAAACAGAAGCTTTAGATCCATTTGTTACTGCAGGTGAAATCATTACTGATATCGATTCTTATGATCAAGACGATGACGAAGAACTCAACCTTCGCCGCCGTTCAAGAGCCATAAATGATACCACTGGTAGTAGGATATACACATCAAAACGCCCTCCATTCCATGCTAATAAGATTACCAATTTTGATTCTTTAGAATCAAATGAATATTCTACTAATCCCAACTTTGAGAAATTATATATTGATATTAGCGCATCTCCGTATGTTGCAGCTTCGTTGCTACAATCAAAATTAATTCTATTGGCAGACAAACTATTGTTAGATGGATGCATCCCATTAATTAAGAATGAAGTATGTGTTGGGCTTATTTATTTTTCCGAATTAGAATATTGTTTGGATAAATTAAAGGAATTTTGTTTAAAATACGAAATTATGGATGACATTTTTTGTAAATTATTAGACGAGGTTCAGTATCCCATAAATGAGAACGTAATGAATCCTTTAAATCACAATTTGAGTATTGTGAGGAACATTAGCGATACTCCGTCTTCGCAGCTGTCTGATGGTGATTATTTTAATTATGGGGCAACAGCTGATCATTGCTTGAATAACGATCCAAATTGGGAAAATTTACAAACCGTTTTATTTGATTTATCAAACTTAATTAGACATGTTGACTATTCTCCTATATTTTTGAATTATGATTCCGAACTAAGCTTAGCACATTTGATCTTTGATAAAATTGGCAATCGTGTTATTGTATTATTGAAAGAAGGGAGATATTATGGAGTATTACAGAAGAAGGTGCTAATTGATTATTGTAGAAGAGAAGAGTCTAAATAAAGTTTTGTTATCTAGAGTATTTAGATTGTATATTTGCATTGTTTTATGAAGTTACGTTATTATATGTCTAATTTTAATACAGTAGAATATATCGTTAAAGAATTCTTGGAAACAATTCATATTCATTGTTAATGATCCATGGTTAACATTAGAGGTATCAATATTGCAATCAAGGGGTGATAGCCTTTCCAAAAACTTTGCCGTCGGCCTAAGATACTCATGTTGATCGTTTTGTGAAGTCATGGCACTATTCATTGTTAGGTACTTTCTTTCATTATGCTCGTTAATCATATCGTTATAGTTGAGGAATGCATCAAATAGAAACTCCATAATGTTCTCTATATCTGAATATTTAGAGCGGACATCTTTGGAATACACATTGTAGATCATGCCTCTCTCGAAGCATAATAGATTAATGACTAAGGCAATAAGGAGTTTGTTACACTCGTATTTGTTCTGAAAAAAGGTTAATAAACTTTCACTTATCAAGCGAGGAATTAGCTTTTGGTCATCATATACTAAATACTCATCTTGTAGTGGTTTAGCTTGAAATTTTTGAAGAATTGATAAAAAGTTATTTTGCCTTTTACCCTCATTATATTTCAATTTAGAAATTTGCATAGCTTTTATCAGTAGATTTTTATTTGGCCAACATAAGGCTTTCTTCTTCTCCTTGATTCTATCTTTAAAGCAGAATAGATCTTTTACTAGATGGCAACAATTTGTCTCAAGAATTTTATTAAACAAGGTTAAAAACATGATTTTGCATTCAGAATATTTCTGTTGTGAGAAACAATCATCAAGCCGTTGACTGAATATCTTATTTTGGAACAATTCAGTGATGAAATCTTTGAAGATTGAATTTGATATAAATTGCAACATGGCATTGATTGTCTTTATCAAAAATGTGTAAACTATGTTTGAGTTATCAGCTTCAGCATGTTGCAAAAGTTTTGAAAAGAATTGTAACTCAAAATCCAGGAGACATTGTTCTCGAAATTCTAAAGATAATGAAACTAAAACTTTGTTAAACGCCATTAAAAATCTTTCATATTCTAGTATATTATGCTCATCTTGTCCTATGCATGCCTCATTAAATATATATGTGAATCGATTAATAAAACATCTGGAGATGTCTGAAAATTGGTGCAACCATTGAAATAAGAAGGGGCATTCACTATTGTTCAATATAACAATCAATTCCAAAAAATATGTCTCGATAATCTGATCTTTACAATCTTCCGTGAATAATAAGCTATAAAGTAAGTCGTAGAGCGGAAAGTACTTTCTGTTATCAAGACCATGTTCTAAATGTAATGTATTTTGACCTGTTAATGTTTCAACGGTAATCACATCCTGACACAGATGCTGCAACCATATTTCTAGCAATCGTGGGAATCTTTTGTATACTTTCAATGTCTT